ATGTTAGATACCACTAGTAATTCAAGTTGACAATTAAAAAATAAAAATAGAAGCACTTGCGAATTATCGGAAAAAATCTATTTCTATTTTCAACATAAATGCTACCCGATGCGCTAAACACAGCTTTTGAGTTCTCTGAGGAAGGTGGCGCCCAGAGACACTTCATTGCTTGTATAAACAAATTTCGAAATTCTCTGCGATTATGCTTCCACCAAATTAAAGGATATTCTTATCTGTGTATAAAAAAGGGGTAGCTGTAATTATTTCTCCATTTCTAAATCGCTGCGTTTTTTTTTTTGTAAGGTCGCTGCCTTGTCTACCAATCGTTTGCCTATTCACATCACTACAGAAACTGGAATCAGCATCACAGCCGTTGGCGATTTCCTCAAAGCATTGCCAAACATCTTGGTGAGCTCCCTCTTCAATTAAAGCTTTACCCAGTTTTTAGCTTTATTGATGTCAGAAAAAAAACGAGTTTTGAAACTTGGGTCACAAAATATTGCAACAACGGGACGATACGTGAAGCGTACGATATGTAAGCATGCATAGTAGTACGATTAACATCTTATTTTTTTTTAACAAAAATACATCAACCACGCGTTTTTGCCTAGCGGGGTTCATTGTTTTTATTATTACCTCCCTTTTATTAGCTCGGGATGTAACTATGTAATATTGATGCACCTAAAAGATGCAGCGATTTCTATTCTCAAGTTACCAACCTGGTGACAGTACGAATGGAAATTATAATAGTGAGGTTTTAGTTTTTTAAACAATAATTTTTTATCTTTTGTTTATGACGTTTCTCCTCTATTTACCAAAAATAATCTACACTTCAATGATGCAGACGGAAAAGTTATATTTTTGATATAGGAAGAGAGAGAGAAATCTTGTGTTCTTAATTACGTATTGGATAGTTCAGCTCGAAAAAGCAGATTATCTGGTCATAGGCATGTCGCTAAACAAAAAAACCAAACAGTGTTGTGAAATTTATATAGGGCAGCAGTTTACCGGATATCCGATCGGATATCCAAATCCGGCTCTTATTTTTTACATGGTATCCGGTATCCGGTTATCCGGAAAAATCTCTATCCGACACATAATTAATTAATCCCTATCCGAAACGAAAGGTTGTGTTCTTCGGCAAATGCACATAGTTTCAGCTCTGCTTGCCTCAAAGCGACTATCCTTAGCGGTATGGATAGGTCGCCAAGCATTCAAGAAAGAACGCGGTTTATTATACTGAAGATGGAAAATTACAATAAATATTTTCACTCGTAGTGCATAAAAAAATTAATGATTACCTTAGACGTGTATTCCTCCGAGAAGCAACTTTCACCAGTCATACTAGACCCAGCAGATAATTTACCAAGTGCTTGGTCGAGATTCTCTCTCAATTCCGACGGCTTTTAGTTGAGCGCAACCGCTGCTAAAAAAATCAGTGATCGCAATCATGGTTCCCACTCGCCAACATTTTTTTCTACCAAAATCTCTTAAGAAAAGTTACCAAAAGTTACCAAATCTTCACTACCAAAATCCTCTCTTCTTCACTGAGAAAAAAATATACTGAATATTTAACACTGCTATATTTCATAACAAATATGTATATACTTACAGCCCGATTCTGTGCACTTAATAAATTCAATATTTTTATAATTTGTCAATTTTTGATTATTTATCAAGAACTCCCAGTTCACAGCACAGAAGTTTAAATCTATTTTCTTGATAAATTATCAAGATTTAAAATGCTATTGACAATTATAATAATTTTTTTGATTAGAAAATATTTTTCTATCAATTAATTACTGCATGTGCCGTTATTCTCATTTTCGTTGTTGGTGTTTCCGACAGGGTAGGAGTATGATGTAATGTGGAACGATTTTCCATCATCCCTTGTCAAATTTGGTTTGGAGACAAACCGGTTTCGGAGTTGTGCCATTTCAGTGTAATTTTTCGTTCGGAATGTACCGATACTTGGACCTGCGACTCACAGAATAATAGCACCGGCTAACAAAAAAAAGTGGCGGGTGCTTTTAACCGCCGTTTCGAGTAAATTGCGAAAATTGCTAATTTTTTTTGCTATTTTGTCGGTTTTTCATAATTTACTGTACGTCGAAATACATGTCGGTAAGTGTCGAAATACTTGTCGGTCCCTTTTTTTTGGTGCCGGAATAATCCAAACGATTTATGGACCTTACCATTATTAAAAGTGAGAGTATTAAAATGTGAGAGGGTAGAATTTAAAATTTATCGCAAAAATTCGAAAGTTGTTATAGAAGTGCAGCCCTTGGTGCTGCCACTGTAATTCAAATATTTCCAGTATTCGAATATGAGATGACTCTAATTTTATCAAAGTAATTTTGTAGAAGTGTCAGTAGTGCTGCCACTGAAACTCGAAGGGATTTTATAAATACGCACATTTAAAGCATAATTCATTTCTTCTAGTAATAGATGTTTAGTTGCAAAAGTTACCAAAATTAAATAAAAGTTACCAAGTTACCAAACCGTTTAAAAGTTACCAATTTTGGTAGAAAGTTACCAATTGTGGCAACCATGATCGCAATGCGTCTTCTGAGCGGCTTGATACATTAGCTGTCAAATTCAAAACACACAACATGTTGTCTCAAATGATCAGAAAAATATTACGATCATCTAACACGCTAATGTTCAGTTGTACAAACAACGCGTTCAGAAGGTGCAACCGCAACAGTTACTGAGCTGTTGCGCCTTCTGAACGTGCCCATTGATATGAAACGAAAAATGTTTTTTTATTTTATATTTTTCATACGGACGAATTTTTTCTAAATAACAGCCAGCAATAAAAATAATTTAAAAAATGTATGTAAGTATAAGTAGTAAGTATTTTTAAACTAGCTACGAAATGTAAGTTGTTGCTTTATACGAAAATTACCAATTTAGTTGAAATTCGACAAATTGACCATAGTCGGGAGCTTCGAGATAATAAGCATCTTTTATAAATAAAATAATTATTACGGTTGGAATTTTGAATTTATTTTTGTTACATTTGAAATCATAGCGTTAAATTGAACTAAACGCGGGCGGAACAAGGGGAATAAGCTAGTACATACATAAGAGCATTTTTTTCTTGAGAGCTACTGATTTAAGAAATTTTGATACGAAAAAATTTCATTTCTTTTTAATTTTTTGGGCGTTTTTTCAGTTGAATTCGACAAAGCCCCAAATAAGTAAAATTATCCACCTAAGCCTGCTGCATACTACTCAAGTGAAAGAAGGCTTTTCGCTACCCTCATAAATTACTTGAGTTAAGGACTTCAGTATTATCACTAGCCCAGATTAAAAATGTAAAACGGTTGACATACGAAATCTATTTAGCGACAGAACCGGAGAACGGAGGTTTGGTGGAGCCACACCGACTGATTGAGTTTAAGGCCTCACTGAAATCTGTAAGGTCTATTGACCAGTGCGTGCGGCTTGGGACCCGCCCCGCCAAAAACAGCCTCCAATGAAAAATGTTTGGGGCCATGCGACGTCTGTTACAGCGGCTAACCACAATCCGCATCAAAGCAAGATTCTTCAACATCTCGCTCATCTACGCCCATGCCCCGACGGAATAGGCACATACGAGCGCTGCTCCCACCATGCTATCAAAATCGTGCTAGGCGACTTCAATGTCAGGGTGGGTAAGAAAGGGATCTTTGGAACCACTATCGGAAAATTCAACCTCCACGACGAAATGTCCGACAACGGACTGAGGCTGATCGACTTTGCCGGAGCTCGAAATATGGTAATACGCAGTCTAGGTTCAAGCATAAAACGATCCGTCAAAGCACGTGGCTCTCTCCGGATCGATAAACAAGAAACCAAATCGATTGGGCTTTGATAGACGGACGTTTTAGGGGTGAGTACATTGCGAGGGCCAAAAATCGACTCAGGCCACTTTCTTGTTGTAGCCAAGATACGCACCCACCTCTGTGCGACATAAAATGTGCGCCCAAAAACGCTGGAAGAGCTTAACGTCGAAAATCTGCAATCACAGCCGACAGCCAATGCATTCGCTACTCGACTCTCACACCTGCTCTCAGAGAGCACTTTTCAATAAACTGACAAATTCGAGTAGTTGAATCACAATTTCCGTTCATTAAGTACCGCCGCCGAAGAAGTAGTCAGATTTCAGCGAGCCCGAAAGAACAACTGGTACGATGAGGAGTGTCAAGCAGCTGCAGAGAAAAAAGATGCCGCCTACAGGCCTACGCTGCGATCGGGCACAACGGGAATTTGCCGCAATAAGAAAAGAGAGGCAGAAATAAGTGAGTGCGAAGAGCTTGAAATGCTGGCCGATAGGAAAAATGGCCGAAAATTTTATCAGAGGGTTGGGTGCTTACTGAAGGTTTCCAGACCAGGGCGAAATCCTGTAAGAACAACCAAGGCGACCTAGAGCCTCATGCCAAATTACGGAGGGAACACTTTTCCACCCTATTGAATATAAGGCGATTCAGAAATTAAGTCCTCTATCGACGTACGAAAACCACACTCTATAAGTCACTCATCATACCAGTGCTAGTATTTGACGCAAAATCCGAATTAAACTACAGCGGCTCCTCTGACTTGACCATGTCGTTCGAATGATCTCCGACGCTCTGAAAGTATTTAACTCGGAAACCGCTGGTGGGAGGGAGGCTCCCACTGTGATAGAAAGACCAAGTGGAGAAGAACTTGGCTCCACTTGGCATTTCCAATTGGGGCAGTTGGCACTGAAAAGAAGCGGTTTTCGTGCTTTTGGTGTACGCGGCCGAAATTGCTTAGGCGGTTTCAGCGTCAAATAATAAGAAAAATATAGAATAATCCCAGGCGGTGATATGATTACAAATTTCGACTTTTCTTGTTTTGGACAGCCCTAGTGTACATATTCGAATCAATAAAAATATAATGTAGCTATGATATACGAGTAGGATAGGATAGGAGATGTGGGTGAAGTGTAAAGGGTTATTGATATAAAACTAAACTTATGCCAATTTGCTTACGTGTTGTTGTTGTCGTTGGTGCAGCACTTTGTTGCTGTCTTTTCCGCTGCTTTATACTTTTTTGGCACTATTTTCGCTGCTGGTGTCGTTTATATTGTTTTGCTTTTGGTCTCCAATTCTCTATACTGCTGAGAAGTATTGCTTTTACTGCTTTTAGTTGTTATTATGTATTTAATGTTTTCTTTTTATTACGGGTTTATTTTTATTAAATTTGTTTTTTTTTTTTTTCAAAGCAATTTATATAAGACAACTCGCCGTGTCTGCATAGATGAATCCAATGGCCAACTTTTTTGTTATTACTTTGTCTGCTCTTGGCCTTTTAGAGAGCGTTGTATGTTTTAATTTTTTTATTTTATTTTATTTATACTATTTTAGTACATATTATACTTGACTGGTATTTTTTAAGTTGAACTTTTCACTCTGTTCAGTGAAAATATCGTCATTGCACTATTTCCAAGCTGCCCATGTGCGTAAATATTTACTTTCTATTCCTGGCGTTCGCGGCAAAGTACCTACTGGTAGCTAGTATTTGTGGCGTCTGGAAGTGCATTCAAACGGGGGAAATTACTAAGTGGGCGCAAACAGAAACTAACAAGTAAATATGTATGTATGTATGTACTTTTGTAAACGCATTTGTATGTATGTATTTACTTATGTATGTGTGCGTGCGCGCAAGTAGCAAGTGAAGCACTTAAGCGTGTTAATACGCATTTATTTCTAAGTTTTCACTACTTGTTCGTTGTTAGAAACTTTAATTTTCACAGCAATTTCCACAATTTTCTTTTGAACTATTTAGAAAATAGTTACAATGGCTAGTGTATATTTATTTAAAACAAAAGCACTTTCAAAAATCACTTTTTACAAATAATTTTTGTATATGTATGCACATACTATTTATGTCATGCATATCCATATATGTATATGTATATGTTTGTATTTAATAACTGCTCGCGCCCAAGCAACGCTGAATTTTGAATAAGCCAAGTTAAGCGGCAGAAACACTAAGCTTACAATTAGTTATGGTGTAAAAGCAACCGCACAGCTCCACAAGGTTCGAATGTATGAAGAGTGCTTCATAGCTTGACTGGCTGACTAGCTGCTTCTGTCTGTTCGGCTTGAAGTTTACTATAGCAGTCAACACACAGCTATAAACACCTAAAGTAAGCACATCGGCATATTGGTAAATGCAGACAAGAGTAGCAGACAAGACAAGTTAAGAAAGCATAACAAAATACATACACATACAAAAAGTTATTGAAATACACTAACAGCTTGAAAACTCGTTTTAGCGCAAAAAGAAAAAAATCAACTAGTTTTGGAGCGAAATGTGAACGAAGTGAAGAAGTAGAAGTGGAAGCAGAAGAAAACGTCGGAAAATATACATATGTATCTATGCGACTGCCTACTGCAAGACTTTTGATTTAGTATACATATATTTTTCATTATTTATATGTTTTAGGAAAAAGTTCTATATCGATGAGATAGAGTGTATTTTAAAGGTGTTCCCGAAATTAGCTTTGCGCCTCTCGTACACTTACATTGTATATCTACCCTTATAAAGTGCGCGTTTACTTGTGCTTAGTTTGAGATCGTTAGATAAAAGAACGCCGATTCTCTCTGTAGCTTTTATTTTTATTTTTTTTTTTCCACTATCCAAGGGGTATGAGACTGTCCATAGTTTTTGGAGATAATAAGAACATTTCTCAATTTATATTGGTCATGATTTTTCTTTCCCAAAATCTATGTTTTAGCTACTAGTTAACTAGTTCTTAACTTAAAGGTTTATTATACATATACTAGTCTGAGAGAAGGAATTGTTTCATTGCCCACTTCGTCGTCTTTGACTGGAGGCGCGTGGTCATTTTCTATACTAATTTCAGTTTCAGTAACAGGGTATACATGCATTTTTTCCATAATGTTAGCACGCTCTGCAAATCGGTTAATACGCCATCATGATTGTTATTACAGGAATCTGCACTGGTCTTGGAGCTTTCTGTAAACCACCTAACCTTGTAATAGAACTTTTGGAAGTTTCTTATATTGACCAGCATCTCAAGCTCTCCCGAATAGATTTACAACTACCAGACTAAGTATGATGAGCTATAAATAGCGGTTTCTCAGATGAAACACATCAAAAGTTGCTGAAATAACAGTCTGCCAACTGTGATATTCAAGTAGGAAGGCGTGGAGTTAATAAGCATAACCTACAGAATATCGTCAGATGAACGCATGAATTATGCCTGAAATTTAAATGGGCTCTGCCCAATCCATATCTGCCAACTACCGTGGGATCAGCTTTCATCAGCATCGCATACAAAGTTTTATCGAGCGTATTGTGTGAGAGATTGAAGCCCGTCGTCAACGAACTAATTGGATCTTGTCAGTGTGGTTTTAGACCTAGAAAATACTGGCAAAGAAAGACTCCCGAAAATGGGATATACACGCACCATCTATTTGTCGATTTCAAGCATGAAAAGAGGTTGTCTCTAGTGAATTCAATAAATTTTTAAAAACTTTTACCCCATATTGAATCCGCCATATTACTCCAGTACTCAAATTATTGTTGAGTACACCCCGTAATATTATTCTTAAATATTGCGCAATACTCAGAGCTATATTTTCAAAAACTAAATTTTATTATCAAAAAATTTGTCTGTGAAAAATGTTTCTAGAAAAAAAGTTAGAAAATATCCCACCATACAAAAAATGAGAAATAGGAACAATCGTCAATGGCGACAAATTGGCGATTCGCCGGTTAATTGCCGTGGTGACAAATCGGCAACATCATTTTTTTCATGTAAATTTTTGAATAAATAAGTTATAAAAAATTTCGTGTCAAGAGTATTATCCAAACACGTCTAATTCACACCAACGACAGGATTGAAAAAATAGAAAGCCCCATAGGGAAATACAAAATTAATTCCGGTTCTAAGCTCCAATTTTGTATTAAAAAAAATAAATGAAATATTAAAAAGAATCAAATTCTTCCAAATGCCGCCTGAAGCGACAAGAAGACGACTCGCCCAGGCTAGTTGCCTTCGGCGGACGCTTTAGAGCGACTGCTGATTAGAAATCGATACGATGGCAATATCATCGGCAGTCAATTTGTTTCCGAGGGCGACAGGTTTTCTTATTGTCAGCAACAGTGTTGCCACTTGAACATATTTTTAGGTACCAAAACGCCTACCAAATCAGTTTCCACACTACCAAAATTTGTTCATCATTAAAACGAGATTTCGCGAGTTTGCGGGGCTTTTAGCTATACAAATTAGAAGTAAAAATTAAAACTACACATAATATTGTTTACAGAATGGGTTAACCATTCCCACAAATCTTTAAGATTAAACAAAAGAAATTCGGGCTTTTAAATAAAAGAATTAACGTATTGTATAAAAAACTTTTGTAAAATATGTAAATACCTTTGAGATTGATTCAAGTCATATAAAAAAATTTTTTTGTGTGTGTGAAAAAACAAAAGCAGACATTTTATGCATTTAAAAAAAAATCCAAATTTGATTTAATTTGCATACACTCACCATTTTTTACCAATGCACTCACACTTTGCAAATTGCCTATCACCAATTTTTCTTTCAAAACGATAGGTAATTTCTTGTTAATTTCAACAGCTAATCGGTCATAGCTTTGGGAAGTGAATTTTTGTTTGCAGAAAATTGTCTGCTTAATAAAATATAGAAAAAATAAGGAAATCTTATACGTGTAAGCAAAGAGAAAGCAGTGTTTTGATTTCATGTGTTAAATTTTGTTGTATTTTCCAAATACTTTTACCTACCAAAAGCTTCATCAAACCAACCAAGCTACCAACGGAGAATGAAGCTACCAATTTTGGTCCAATTGGGTCAAAACGGCAACGCTGGTCAGCAACAAAAATTGTTTGGTGGGACTTCTTTTCATAGAGAATTTTAATGTGTGTATGTGGGATTTTTTTCAAAATATTTCCTCTCCCCGTTCTTGAGATATTTGGAAAACTATTAAATTGATTTGTTTGTTGTTTTTGTTTTTGTGCAGTAAAGTTTTTAAAAATTTATTAATCAAGCTCAAATATCATATTCATATTTATTTATTACTTATGTTTGTCCATCAACCCTCAAAATTTGAGACAAATCAAAGGCATGAAGTGTGAACCCCGTCCATTTTGGTATGGAACGCCACATGTACATACATATGATTTGATAAACATTAATTTACATACATACATACATTCGTAGCGAAATCTCGAACTGCCGGGTTTGATTGCCGGTGAATAATAGTACAAAAAAGAAAATGAATTCCCAGCAAATGAATTCAGTGCATGTATGTATGTAAATTTGTATGAGAGCATGCACACATTCATACAAATATGTACATACGTGTGTAGGAACATATGCATTCAGATATACAACGGTATAATATATTTTACCAGTTTGGTAGGAAAGAGAAACGTGTAAGCTGCAATGACGCTTCAAAAATTTCTTCATAAGCATTTGCTTAATGTGACCAACCGTACTTCTTTCGGAAGTACAGTACTTCATTTTGAGCCGTTGTACTTCGTACTTCGTACTTCGAGAAGTACAGTCAAATGTACTCTTTTGCAACGTATCAGCACAGCAGCTGATTTGATTTTTTTTTTTCAAATTATTGGTCTCTAAAATATAAAACATTTTTAATTTCCTCTCGCAAAAAAATATAAATTGTCAAAATCATTTTTTCATGTGAAACCAATACTTAACAAGCAATTGAAAAGCAACGTTTGGAACGTCCACTTATGTAACTCCTCAGCACAAACGCTGTTTACTGGGCCTTGCATATGATGGATCAATGCTTCGAGAATCAAACAAAATTTACTAAAAAAAAAAGTCGCATTTTAGGTAAGACAAGAAAAATTACGAAATACACATTAATGTTGTTTTTGCTCTAATACCTGTTTGATATGCCTTGGTACCATCTTTGAAGTTGAATTTTCTTTAACTGTTTCGAAAAATTTCAAAAGGTTAGTCATCTCAGTTAAGAAAAGCACTCATAGATCAACACATAAATTATGACTTTAAATCAGTGTTGCCGCAAATCATTTTTTGTGGTAGGTAAATCCCTTAAAAAAAAACGGCTAAAAAAGAGTTAAAAAAAGTCGTTGTGGCTAAAAATGGTGGCTAAAATTTTTTACTTACATATACATACACAAGTATACACTCAAACATTTTCAATAAGTAATGGTACAGAAAGACAATGAACTCTGGAAAAAAGCTAATATTTTATCCAACCAAAAACCTTTGTATAAAAGGGGGAAATATATGACACCAGCTTGCTGGCTTCATCAAGTGATTGTACCATCAGGCTCGAAGCATGTAAATTACCAGCATGCTGGTACAATATTTATTTCTTTACAAATGAGGTCGAGGAAAGCCCGAAGTGATTAGAGCCGAAATTTCAAAATTTTTGTAACATTTTTTTAAACATTGTTTTTTTTTTTTAATTTACAACTGCAATATCGGGAACTTAATTTTCCACAAACGCGTCTTTGACTCATACAGTACAAGAAATTTCCGCCAAAATACTTTTTACTTAGCAAATTGAGCTAATTTCACCACTCACGACACCAGTATGCTGGTATAATCATAAAATTTCCAAACAGTGTAGTGCTGGTACACCACAAGAACATACACGGTCAATCGACTTGATGGGCCATTTAACAAATTAAGCATAATAAGGGCCATAAACTTAACTATTTTAAACTTTAGTTAAATCGTTAATAGATAAGTTAACAACCCTAACACTTTTCCAATATGTATGTATAAAAACGTAAGGAACATACAATACATATATGTATATATATCAGTCTTTCTTAGTTTAAAAATTCATCTCTTACATAAATAAAAAAAAAAAA